CAACTGATCAGCCTGTCACCACTGAGGCAACAAGTGGACCAACTGAGGGCACGCCCACAACTGATCAGCCTGTCACCACTGAAGGCAACAAGTGGACCAACTGAGGCACCCCACAACTGTACAGCCTGCACCACTGAGGCAACAAGTGCCCAACTGAGGCAACCCCCACAACTGATCAGTCTGTCACCACTGAGGCAACAAGTGGACCAACTGAGGGCACCCCACGACTGATCAGCCGTAACATCAGGAGCACGACGATGGACCAACTGAGGGCACTCCCACGACTGATCAGCCTGTCACAACTGAAGCAACGAGTGGACCAACTGAGGCACTCCCACGACTGATCAGCCTGTCACAACTGGGGCAACATGGTGGCAACAGTGGACAATGATGGAACACCTACGACTGATCAGCCTGTCACAACTGAGGCAACGAGTGTCCTACTGAGGGCACGCCCACAACCTGATCAGCATGTCACAACTGAGGCACGAGTGGACAAATGATGGCACGCCCACAACTGATCAGCCTGTCACAAACCGCGGCAACGAGTGGACCAACTGAGGGCACCCCCACAACTGATCAGCCTGTCACAACTGAGGCAACGAGTGGACCAACTGAGGCACCCCCACAACTGATCAGCCTGTCACAACTGAGGCAACGAGGGACCAACTGAGGAACTCTCACAACTGATCATCCTGTACAACTGAGCAACGAGTGGACCAACTGAGGCACCCCCACAACTGATCAGCCTTGACCACTGACGGCAACAAGTGGACCAACTGAGGGCACCCACAACTGTACAGCCTGTCACCACTGACTGGCAACGAGTGGCCCCAACTGAGGGCACCCCCAAACTGATCAGTCTGTCACCACTGAGCAACAAGTGGACCAACTGAAGGCACCCCCACAAACTGATCAGCCTGTCACAACTGATGCAACAAGTGGACAACAAGAGGGCATCCCACAACTGATCAGCCTGTCACAACTGAGGTAACAAGTGGACCAACTGAGGGCACGCCCACAACTGATTTGCCTGGCACAACTGAGTAACAAGTGGACCAACTGAGGGCACGCCCACAACTATTTGGCCTGGCACAACTGAGCAACAAGTGGATCAACTGAGGGCAGTCCCACAACTGATCATCCTGCACAACTGAGGCAACAAGTAGACCTACTGAGGACACCCCCACAACTGATCAGCCTGGCACAACAGAGGCTACAAATCTGCCAACAGAGGGCACCCTCACAACTGATCAGCCTGTCACAACTGATGCAACAAGTGGAACTACTGAGGTCTTGTCCACAACTGATCAGCCTGGCACAACGGATGCAACAAGTGGAACTACTGAGGGCACCACCACAACTGATGCAACAAGTGGAACTACTGAGAGGCACCCCCACAACTGATCAGCCTGTCACAACTGATGCAACAAGTGGAACTACTGAGGCTTGTCCACAACTGATCAGCCTGTGACAACGGATGCAACAAGTGGAACTACTGAGGGCTTGTCCACAACTGATCAGCCTGCACAACAGATGCAACAAGTGGAACTACTGAGAGCACTCCCACAACTGATCAGCCTGTCACAACTGATGCAACAAGTGGAACTACTGAGGGCACGCCCACAACTGATCAGCCTGGCACAACAGATGCAACAAGTGGAACTACTGAGGGCACGACCACGACTGATCAGCCTGTCACAACTGATGCAACAAGTGGAACTACTGAGGGCACGACCACAACTGAACAGCCTGTCACAACTGGGGCAACAAGTGGACCAACTGAGGGCTTGTCCACAACTGATCAGCCTGTCACAACTGGGGTAACAAGTGGACCTACTGAGGGCACTCCCACAACTGATCAGCCTGTCACAACTGAGAAGACCAGTGGGCCAACTGAAGACATCCCACAACTGATCTGCCTGCACAACTGATCAGCCTGGCACACTGAGCAACAAGTGGACTAACTGAGGGCACGCCCACAACTATGCCTGCACAACTGAGGCAACAAGTGGACCAACTGAGGGCACTCCCACAACTGATCAGCCTGTCACAACTGAGGACCAGTGGCCAACTGAGGGAACTCGTACAACTGATCAGCCTGTACAACTGAGGCAATGAGTGGACAACTGAGGGCACGCCCACAACTGATCAGCCTGTCACAACTGAGGCAACGAGTGGACCAACTGAGGGCACGCCCACAACTGATAGCCTGCACAACTGAGGCAACAAGTGGACCAACTGAGGGCACCCCACAACTGATCAGCCTGTCACAACTGAGGCAACAAGTGGACCTACTGAGGCACCCCCACAACTGATCAGCCTGTCACCACTGAGGCAACGAGTGGACCAACTGAGGCACCCCCACAACTGATCAGCCTGTCACCACTGAGGCAACAAGTGGACAAACAGAGGCACTCCCACAACTGATCAGCCTGTCACCACTGAGAAGAGCAGTGGGCCAACTGAGGTACACCCACAAGTGATCTGCCTGGCACAACTGATCAGCCTGGCAAAACTGAGGTAACAAGTGGACCAACTGAGGCACGCCACAACTGATTTGCCTGGCACAACTGAGGCAACAAGTGGCCTACTGAGGGCACCCTACAACTAATCAGCCTGGCAACTCATGCAACAAGTGAACCAACTGAGGGCACTCCATAACTGATAAGCCTGTACAACTGAGGCTACAACTGTACCTTCAACTACACCACCTATCACTCCAACAATTCAACCAACTACCCAATCCACTACTCGTAAGCCTTTAATTTGCCAAAACGGAGGAATTGACAATGGTCACAACTGCTCATGTCTCATTGGATTTATTGGACCTGTCTGTGAACATGTTGAAGTTGCTGTTGAGCCAGGTAAATTAAATAACTATAGTAAATTAATGTTAAATCATATACGTTTTTTAAAGACAACATTATTTTAACTTTATTCTTCACTGATATTTAATGAAATATTTCTATGTCCATACAGATACAATCAACAGAACGGTTGTGGTTAATATAGACATCAATGAGGAATATATTGATGAATATGAGGATGAGGCATCACAGGAATACAAAGAATTTGTTGGAAACTTCACCAGCCAGGTGAGATACATGGCTACAGAGTATTAGTCTGAAAAAGCACAAACAATAACAGGACATCCGTCCATTTAAAGAGAAATAAAGGATTATTCTCCAAAGAGATGTCTAATTGGATTTAACCTAAATGTTTTATTTATATCACAGCATATTTTCTTCTTGTATTTAATAAAACGAAAACACAATTATATGACCTAAACTAATATCATGAAGATATTGATATTTATTATGTCACTATTTTCAGATGGAGGAATATTACAAAACAAGGATAGAAAATGTTAAAGAAGTGGTGGTCATAAGTGTCAGTGATGTACTTTTCATTTTTTATAATCAATTTTAAAACTGTTTTTAAAACAACTGGTTTTGGTGGCAAATCTTCTTCTCCTTAAGATTGTTTCTCTTGTTCCTTTATAGCCCAGGAAGCCCATTGGGCAGATTATCAACCAACATTGTGGAAGAGGTGAATAATTTAAAAAAACATTGCCAATAGTTCAGAGAAAAGATCAAATAAAATGTAACTGGGTTTTTTTCATACCATTTCAGATACAATTAAGGGCTGAAGGCACAGATCTCACACCAACAAGAGTCGGGTAAGTAGAGAATAAAATGTCCAATGACATAAAGATGTACTGGACTGTATTATGGCTGTATCACAAGTTGACTTTGAAGTTTTTACATCACTCAGGGCATTTGATCTCAATTACCACGCTTGTCTTATCTGGAAAATTTGTGTCTGCTTTATCAATAGGTGTCAGCTTTTACAGATACTGTATATGTATTATCAAATGAGACAACAAATCCAGCTGTACTGCTTATTCTACCAGCGGTGTCAACAGTTACATTCAACTAGATTTAAAATGCTTAGGTGTCTCACCATGAAGCTAGTTTATCATCATCTGACTTATTGCAACTTAAAATATAATTTATTTTTAACAATATTTAACCAGGAAACAATAAAACAAATGAAATTGTAAAGAGACTACATCTCAGCAACATCTCATGTTTTGAATTGTGTTATTTGTTGCATTTTTGAATATTTTCTTTTAAAACCAACTGAAACTGACATATTGAATTCTCTCCCCATCAGTGTTGATGTCAAACATGATGTCATCCTGGCAATTCCAAATAACCCTGATTATGAGGATATATATGTGAATAATACTGAAGAAATTATGGAGGCTGTTGGTGACCTTGTTGGCTGCACTCTAGGTAAGAGAGACATTTCCCAATAGTGTGTGGACATGAAAACACAAGATTAGAAAAAAAACAATTCTTTATGAGGATTTAGAGCTTGTGATAAGGATAAGGAAAGTCCAACTAGTAGTGGTTGATGTGCACACACACTGATGTAGTTTTCTTTTTACATCAACATCATGTTAACATGCTAACATTGACTTCTTAACATAGACTGTGTATCAAATGTGGAGGTAGCTACCTTGATGTGACTTTGTTGCATAGCTGATGGTTTGTATCCTGAAGTTTGGCATTTTTACTCGATCTTTTCTGGTTTTTGGTGCCAGAAGGAACCGTATTTGAAAAAAGGGGTGGAGCTGGGGAGGAGCGAGGGAAACCCTTGCTCTTCTTGCTAAGTCTTCAGCTACAGCTACCTCAGAAAGCAAGGTGCATCTGTAATTTTAGTGTTTGTGATATTAAGTTGGACTCTAAACAAAATGTGTTTACTTTAGAAAATAAATAGCTGAGTCCTCAGAATGTTTTCAAGTAAATCGGACATTACACAAGATATTTTTCAGGTCACCATTGTAGCAGCTTGTCAATCACAGGTAGCCCCTCTAACCCCTCGCCTGCTTTCTGGTCTCTTTGACTCCAAAGTTTACCATTATTTATTAAGTGAACATGAAATTGTTTTGAAGAAGACTTGAAACCGGAGATTGAGATCATAAACTCAAAAAACAGACTCAGAAACAGTTTTTTCCACAGGCAGTGAAATGCCTTTACCGTCCATCTGTGTGTGCTGGAAATGACTGGAGCTGCTAAATTGTTTCTCGTTGTTTTTATAGCAATGACAATAAAGATATATTCTATTCTATTCTAGGAAAATGTTTACTGAGGTAATAAATCACCTGACTATAGAAACATTTTATCATAGACTTCTTCACAATCTGAATTCTGTTTACAACCAGTGGAGACGCCTCCTCTTGGACATTGAAGAAAATTAATAATGATGGTGTCATCTTTTGAGAACCATTCTATTAGATAGTAGGGGGAAAAAAAACTTGTTGATTAGGGTTGGAGAACTTGTTGGTGCTGTGATACAAGCATGGGTAAATAAACGGCTGATACCAAAGAAATTGAAAAATAATTTTCACACAATTTTAATAAATTGATTGTTATCTTTTTGTTTTTTAATTTTCAGACTGCCCGAGTTTTAATGTCACAGTGAAGCCGACAGTGACGCCTACAGAACCAGATCTTCAATGTCAGTATCTCCATAAGTCCTGTATTTGTTTGAAAATGTGTATGTGGGTGTGTGCATGTGTGTGTGTGTGTGTGTGTGTGTGTGTGTGTGTGTGTGTGTGTGTGTGTGTGTGTGTGTGTGTAAGCTTAAAAGAATGACTCAAAGGATATGTTAACAATTTAAATTCCTTTGAGAATCTTCTTTATAGACTGAGCATGTGACATAATTTGAATATTATTTGATTGGAAAGTGATTTTCATTGTTCAGGTTCCACAACATAGAATGAAACATGTTGCTCATGGTTTGTAGCTATCTTCTAGTTTTCAATTCAAGCCCCTTATTTGTTTTAAACATGAACAGAGTAATTTACAAAAACACAAAACTCTCAGCCATGAACTGGCTAACAGAATTAGCATTGCGATAATTTTAACTTATTACTAAACATACTCAACAAACATCACCACATGCACTCTTACTTCCAGACATATGTTTCCTCTGTGGAGGCAGCCTCACGCTCGTCTGGTCTGCTGCTCTGATCCATCTTTATAAACATTCAATGCTCTGATCCAGTGACGCTGCATGACTCGCTCTTTATGTCTCAGTTCATGGGATATGTCTCTCTGCTGCCTCCTTTTGGGTGGTGGTGTGTAATGCGTTAATTTTTCCAGCGCCATCGAAGCTCCTATCTCTTTTTTTGAAGAGGAGCAAATGAGCAAACGATAACGCAGGTCAATGGCGGCCCTGAGCACTGGACCAGAGCTAGCACTCAAGACCAGAAACACGTCACAAGTCAGTAACTTTAGACACGCAGAACGGTTTTAAATCTATGTTTTTATTGCAGATTATACTTTTTATACAATAACTACACAAAATGTTCTTTGCAGTTCAGACGATATTAAAAACTGATTTTAAAAATCTTATCCGTGCTAAATGGTTGCGTCGCCCTAGTGCCCTCTATTGACCAGCCGCCACTGCTTCAGATATTTAAATATTACATTTAATAATAAACAGAGGTAATGTATCTAGGACATGGTGGTATTTAACGTGTCCTGCTGGTGTTATAAAGAAGCCATAACTGTTTTTGCATGCACAATGCTTATCGAGTGTTTTCATCCTCTTCTTCTTCTTCTTCCTGTCTTTCACCAGCGGTCTGTGAAAGGCTGAATGAGGATGCAGATGTGACTGATTTCTACCAGGCTGCGGAGGTTAATAATAAGGTAACCTGTGTGACTGCCTGCCATCCGAAACACGACAAGCATAAAACATGCTACAACAAGGGAGTGTGCAAAGTGTTTAAAGCCACCGGGCCGCTCTGCCAGTAAGTTTTACTCCGCTGTCACACAGTCCTGTTTCTGTCTCCCTCTGCTGCATTGTTTCATGTTGATATTTTTATTTTTACGTCTTCACAGTCTGATGAAAGAGGCTCTTGTTAAATGGATAATACTTTCAGCAATGAGCAGCTGATTTTAACACTTTGAAAACCTCATGTGGAGCTTGTTGTTGCTTCGTTAGCATAGCTAGGTATCCCAGGATGCTTTGAGCAGCACCCTCATGTTTAGTTTAAACATGGAGATTGAATATAATAATTTAAAAATATCTTTTACATTTAAGATATTTGAATTAAACATGATCAGTGCCAGATATTTGTATCACATGATCTAATTCCCGCCTTCTTATCTGTTTGATCAGAGGAGGTTTAGTTTGAAAGAGAGTTTAAACTGTTGCTTTTTGTTCCTCCCCGTCTCTTTAGTTTAACATTCTTCTCCTTCCTCTTTCAGTTGTGTGGACTTGTCCTCCACCTGGTACCTGAGCGATGACTGCAGACTGCCCATACAGAGGACGGCGTTCTTTGCCGGGCTGAGTGTGACGCTCACTGTTCTCTTGGTGCTGGTGGGAGTCCTGGCGGCGTTCGTATTAAGGAACAAACAGAGGAGGTGAGATTCTCACCGGTGGTAAAATGTTCCTACACTTTAGCTTTAGCTTAGCTGTCATGATGTTATTTTCATCAAAATTTTAAATAAATTGAAAGAAGTACCTCTAAAACAAAATCTCAAACTAAATGTTCTAATTGACGGTAAACTTCAAATGATGAATGTCCAAGATTTATGAGTTTGAGATTATTTTTATACCAAATTTATTTTAAAAAGTTGATTTTGGGATTGTTAATTTTTTTGTATTAACTCACTTGTCTGTTTTATTGATGAGATTATGATTCTCTGTTTTTGGTCAATGCAGGGAGTGAATAATGTTATACCCAATAAATATGACAGGGAACCCAGGAAGAGCTGTTTAACATATTTAACCCCTTCAGCTTCCTGGTTGGGCATCACGTACACAATCATTTAAAACTATCCAGTTTATCCAGCAATTGGTCCTTTTTTCAACTTGATCAAAAATACTTTTAGGAACTCTCAGAGACATTATTGTCGTGCTATTGCCTTGATGAAGTTTACTTCATATAAGTTTAACAAAAGCTCTTTATGTTTTACTTTTCAGGTTGTTCAGCATGGCAGTCAATCATTTTATGATCAATCAAACTTATTTGTATAGCACCAATTCATAAAAATAGTTTTCTAAAGACTCTTTAAAAAAAGTAACAGCTTTCAATTATTATATTTCATTCTCTACATTTTCAACTATTTCTTATTGCATATCAGTTTTCAGCATTTCAACGCATTTTCTGCAAGGAAATGCAATTTTTCTAGTTGTGTTAAATTTTACTTTTTTCATACTGCAGGATAAATGTTTATTCTCGTAATAAAATCTGACTGTTTCTCTGCTTTGTCTGCAGATACAAAGACATAAAAGACAAGCTGGTGAATCAGTGGCTGAACGAGGACTTTGAGTGGTCCAGATCAAACATTGACGGTGATGGTAATGCATTTATTACACACGTACACACAATCACACACTCGCCCAAGGGACAAACCTTCTTCTTCAATGACCAAGTGTGGGCTTCTAAGTCTAAAACACGTAAACACCTATAGTATTGGTTTGGGCATGATTTTAGAATGATTTAAGGCATGTCCAAGAGGGGACGTCACAAATTGAACCCTCTTTGCTGGCTGGTCCCCTCTTTGTGAACTAGAAACGACACGGAGGTCCCCTCAAGATATATATATATATATATATATATATCTACACACAAGTACACAAACACACACATTCTCTCCCTCTGTGAGTGTTGTTGCAGCAGTTGTTAGAATTACGTTTTTACTGCAGACGTTTTAGGAGTGTCAAGTTTTAGCACCACAATAACAGGGTTTATATAGAGAAAAAAATAAATAATATATTTGGTCTTTGGAAACGCCAATGTTGGTTGTGATTATCCGTTAAGTTTAACATTGAGAAAATTATAAACCTAAGAAATAAGGGAAGGGAGTGCTCCAGGGAGTGTTTGTGTGCTTTGTGGACTCGCAGAGGCAGGTCTGGTTCACTGGGAGAGGTTTCAGGGTTAGGTCTAATCAGGGTTAGGCCTAATCTACAGGTTATCATCATGCAGTATAAAGGGAGGACATACAACAAAAACTGGTGTATAAACACGCTATGGAAACAGTATCAAACTATTGACTAATAAAGATTAAAGTCTTAAAGCATATTAGACTTCTACATGTCAGAATGGAAAAGACTGATAGGTATAAAAAGTTTAGAGATTGTTGATGTAGATCTGCTCGGCCTGCAGCAGGTAAACAGACTGTAACGTCTGCAGCGGCTAAACAGACTGTAACATCTGCAGCGGGTAAACAGACTGTAACGTCTGCAGCGGGTAAACAGACTGTAACGTCTGCAGCGGGTAAACAGGCTGTAACGTCTGCAGCAGTTAAACAGGCTGTAACGTCTGCAGCGGGTAAACTGACTGTCACGTCTGCAGCAGGTAAACAGAATGTAACGTCTGAAACAGGTAAACAGACTGTAAGATCTGCAGCAGGTAAACAGACTGTAACGTCTGCAGCAGGTAAACAGAATGTAGCGTCTGCAGCAGGTAAACAGACTGTAACATTGTCATTTTAGTCCCTGACAGGTTCAGATTGTTATTCTGTGTGTGACAACATGACAGAAAGTATCCCTACAGAGGAAGATGATGTTTTAGCCACAAACAGCTGTTACATCACTGTCTACAAACGCACCACACTAAATTCAGAAAAACAGAGATTTATCCTCACAGGACACAGAGGGATGTTGGTTTACTGCTGCCTCGACCAGTTTGTTTATTTGTTTGACTTAATGTTTAAATCGGTCAGTTTTTTTGCTACACAAAATTACATGATAAAGGTAATTTACTCTGTATGTGGTCTTTAAATTAACCCTTTCTTTTGTTCTAATTTCAGAAGTTTACGGAAACCCCACATTCACTCAGAGCGAAGCAACCGTCCACTTAGAGGACCTAGATGTTTACAGACAACCTCTACCTGCCTACCAGCCGACCCGTCCATCTTCACAGATTGACTACAGACAGTCAGCGGGCATGTTCCCCCCGTCACGACAAGCTCACAGACACATCACTCCTTCTAATATTTCTGGATACTCACAGTCTGCTGGTCCAGCCCGTCAACTCAGAAACTCAGTCAACCAGCCGGTCAGTTTTTACATCCACTCCAACACACAATCTTTTGCTCTGAGTGATAATCTCGGTCTCAAGATAAATTTTAAATGTGAAGAATCTCCATCCTTCCACACTTTTGATTATTTTATTGATACGTTAACGTCATGTTTATGTTTCTTTCTTTCTTGCTCTTCACAGATGAGGATCAACAGGCCTCAGATCAGGACGTCCTGGGATGTCTGAGTGGCACGCCAAGAAACTTTGTCTTCGAAAATATAACTGTAAATAAACAAAGAAAACATGAAAAATGATTTGCAGTGTTCAAAAAACAAATTCACAGTCTATTGATCTCATCTGAGCTGCAGCAGATCTGCAGGAGTGACGATTATTTATTTTTCATTCATCATCATGAGTAACTCTTTTCCAATTACACACCGCCATTTGAAGTATTTTTTTAAAATGAAAGAATACACATCAATATTTTGAGTTGCTTAGTGCTGTGCTCATGTTGGATTAGTGTTGAGTGTGTTGAAAAGGTTGTAAGTACTATAACCGCTAGTACAGTCAAGACCTACTCTTTCTGTAAATCGTCTGCTGCTAACATTTGTTATGATTTGGCGCAACCGATCACAATCGATATCTGATGTTAAAATGTGTCTGGACTTGTTCAAGTTTACCAAAGAGAGGCAGTTGTTATTATTTGTATTATTATTAGGATACAAATTAGTTTTTGAATATTGTTATTTATTTTATTTCTATTTATATGTTAATTGACCAGGTTTGACACATTCAGATTAAAGATCTCTTTAACAAGGAGACCTGGCAGCAATTCAAAGTTACAATGATAAGTAACATTAAGGCCATCAGATCAGAAAAAATAAGAAGCTGTTTGTAAATCTGTGCCAATTGAGGGGTAAACTTTGCAAGTTACTTAAACTGTGTGCATTGTTTCATAAACATTGTGCACAGATTCATATAATCTGCTACTGTTCTGTAAACTGTGTGCATTCATTTAGAGACCATATGCACGGATTTGTAAACTGTGCAAGGATTTGGGCAATCTGTGCTATCAGCCACTGATAGCAGATCTGATTTTGAGCCTCGCACATGGATTTGTGAACCGTGGGAACTGATTTACAAACAGCTTTTTTTTCTTAACTGAGCTTTCAGGGGCTCAGTATCCCGTGGAAGTTTTTGGCAGCAACACTTTCTTTCCTAATTTATTTCCATTTTTTAGAATAACAAATGGCCAAGAGTCCAAAGAACAAAGGTATTAATTACCATCCTTCACCAAGATTCAGAAAGAGACTCAACTCCCCACCCCTCCCCCCCCCCCCCCCTACACACACACACACACACACACACACACACACACACTACACAACCCATGGATTTTAGTACACCATTATTTTCAAAGCCAAAATTCCTTGTAAGTCATCATTCTTGGGTTCAATGTTGTTTACAAGTCACATAAACTGCTTTGAACTAAAAATATTCCAAACTCTGCTATTCATCGTTATGCTGATGAGTCTCTCTTTTACTGATCTGAAACTATAACTTGTCTCTCTCCTCTTTCTTAATGTTGAAGAAAACTTTGGTCCCTGCAAACCTTCCGACTGCAGGTTAAGAAATGATTGTGGTGGTCTATACAAACCCTGACTTCGGATCTAAACACACGTTGAACATAAATGAAAGACATAAACAGAGAAAACAGCCGACTACCAGAGTCAGGCCATACTCTGTGAACTAGGTATTAGTTTCATTTAGGATCTGATTTTATAACAGTAAATGTTGTTTATTGCTTTTGATGCACTTTATGTTAATAAAAGTTCATAACTTAAAAGACTCTCTAGATTTCTTTTGATGATTAATAACTGAAATGAGATGATGTACAAGGGTTCCTGATCAAGTTTGAACAATACAGCAATTTATTAAAACTAATAACAAAGAAAAAAGAATTATTTGACCTGTATCTGAAACATTTTGAACCAGTTACTTAATTTGAACTTCAATTTGTTTGCTTGATTTACTGATATATTTCTTTTCAGACAATTAATGTAGGAGGTTTGTTAGAGGAGACTCAAATCATGTGATGTCTGTTCTCATTATTTTCCTGAGGGAAAGACCTTCTTTATCAGAAACAAAAACCCATCAAGTATCCAAAGTTTGATGATTTAGAAATCAATCACAAAAAAAACTGAATAAACACACGAGCTGGTTATTAGGATCATGTTTTAATGTGCAGATTTGACTTTGCAATAAAGTCTCAACCGTAGTGATGAAAAATGCAAAACAGAGGGTGTACTTACACTGTGCATCCACTGAGGGGCGCTGTATCATTATTTTGATCAAGCTTCACTATGATGAAGGATTGTGAGTCAAACTGATGTTCACTCACTCAAAAGCTTTACTTTGACAACTGTTCATTTAAATATAAGCACAATTGAATAATGTAATAAGATGAATCTGTATTATTATTTATTATTAGAGATTACTGACAGGAAAGCATGTTCATTTATATCTCTCTGACCCCATCTTTGGTTTAATTTGACTGAAATCCATCAGCTGCATACGTAAATGTATGAAATGAAATACCACTGACAAAGTGATTCACATCTTTATTCAGCAGAACGAGCATTAAAACATCATCATCAAATATGTAGCATAGACACTCGATCTGTGTTAACCTGTGTCCAAAGAATAAACTGTGCAGACAAAAGATGGATTTGAAGGAGTGGGAACTAATGTCGGTCCTGGATTTCATTCCTTTATTTATCAATTGTACAGTTGAATAGGGACGATGCATATTCAAAACAACTCTGTAAGGGTCAGTTTAGGAGAGTGACAGAACAAGAGACACACGAGGTACGCTAACCTGAGCAGCCACACGGTTCACTCAGCAGTGTACATACAGGACACTTAAAAACAACAGTATGATGTAAGAAGTCTCATCTGATTGGATCTACATGATATGTGTGTTAAAACAGGCCTGCAGGTGCGTGCATTACTCCTTCATTTACATGAAGCGACTCTGAGACGCTCTGAATGGAGCAGAATAAAAACTGCTGTTTTGAATGGGAGCTAAAAATGTCTGCTACTGAAAGGCAGAAATATGAAGCCGAAATATTTAGATCATTCATTTTAAAAACCTTTAATATCTGCTGCTGCTTTATGTTTTTAATGGTTATTATTGTTTGTGTAAAAATAAACTTGAAACAGATTGGATTTAACCGGCAGTGTGTTCACACAAAGGACTCTGTGTCAGCGGCTCACTGTAAGAAAATATACAAGCCTGAGGATAAACACACAAACTAAACCAACTGAGACAGACCCGGACACAGGGGGCATCCCTGTGACCTCAGTGGTGCCACTTTGGCGCAAACAAGTTCCTTACAAAAGTCTGTGTGACCCAAAGAAACAAGTCAACATAAATTTCAAACGATTTTATGTTTCAAATGATCTTTGTATTCTGCACACTCGGAAGTCAAAGTCGGAATTTCAACTTCATCCAAGGTCTTCTTCATATTTCATATTCTTTTTAAATTCCTGGTATTATTCAGGGAATTTGAGGGAATGATGTATGAACCGTCTATAAGCACCGAGAGTGATGTCTTACCCGCCTGACCCCCAATTTACATATACTCCGTGCGCATCACGGTCCATCAGCGCCATGGTTTTACTTAGTTAGGTGGCGCTCACCCTGCCCCACTGGGTCCATTTCTGGAACGTGAACTCAGCCATGTGCAGCTGTACACACATCTCAGGAGAACTGCAAGATCACGGGAGAACTACAAGATCACATGAGAACTATAAGACCACAGGAGAACTACAAGATCTCAGGAGAGCTACAAGATCTCAGGAGAACTACAAGATCTCAGGAGAACTACAAGATCTCAGGAGAACTACAAGATAACATGAGAACTACAAGATCACATGAGAACTACAAGATTACATGAGAACTACAAGATCACATGAGAACTACAAGATCCCAGGAGAACTACAAGATCACATGAAAACTACAAGATCTCAGGAGAACTACAAGATCACAGAACTACAAAATAACAGGAGAACTACAAGATCACAGGAGAGCTAAAAGATCACAGGAGAACTACAAGATCACAGGAGAACTACAAGATCAAAGGAGAGCTAAAAGGTCACAGGAGAACTACAAGATCACAGGAGAACTAAAAGATCTCAGGAGAAATACAAGATCACATAAGAACTACAAGATCATAGGAGAACTACAAGATCACAGGAGAGCTAAACGATCACAGGAGAACTACAAGATCACAGGAGAACTACAAGATCACAGGAGAGCTAAAAGGTCACAGGAGTACTACAAGTTGTTTTGTCTTTCTGAGGAAGATTTTTTGTCCATCAGCAAAAATAGACGTATTTTAAATGGAGTAGAGCGTAGTGGCGCTGAGAGTGGCGTTTAATGGCGGCGTAGTGCATGCCGCTGACGGATTGTGGAAATTGGGGGTAACATCCTCCTCTATGAGTAGTACCTCTTATCATCAAACGGATGAAACAGTCCAACCATGCAAACAAATTAAGAAACTTTGAACTAAATTGTGAACGAATCGTAACATACTTTACAGTATCATATCGTAGTTGTGCCGTTTCACATTGCAACGAAACAAATTTGATATGTTTCGTATCCTTTCAAATTGTATTGTTTCGTTTCTTATCATATCATATAGTATCATACTCGTTGGTAAAATCATACTGAGTCATACTTTAATATATCCTTGAGTATTGTTTTCATATTGTTGGGGTTGTATCAACTTTGGTTATATTCTTTAATAATTATACTTAATTATTAATAATATAAATAAAATATCATTAAACTATGTTTAATCTCATTTTGGGGCACCAACCTGTAATCAGGTAAATATAACCAAAATATCACTCAAATCAGTCTCAAATTAGTTATTTAATTACTAATATTATTAATAATAAATAACTATATTTAATAAATTGAAGGCGTGAAATCCGTACACAAAGCCTTCTTACCCAGCTTATATCACAATGCAAATACACCAGTAATCACAAACAACTGCTCTCTTAAATTATAACAGAATTTATTTAAACAAAGCAACATCAATCCAAAATCAATGAACTTAATTAAACAAATAACTATTATAAACTAATCTAAGCAACAAACATTATCAAGCAAAGGCTTGTGGATGAGGTGTAAATGTGTGTGTGTGCAGATGAGTGTGTATGTAGATGTGTGAGAGAGAGAGAGAGAGAGAGAGATAGAGAGAACAAGATGGTGGAGAGAGACAATGCACCCTGTGGCTTCGTCACATGGTGACAAAAATGGTGGACAACAAAGGAAGTCGTGTGGCTACCTTTTGAAATAGTTTGAGCTCTCTGAGCTGAGTTCAGTAACTGTTACTTAAACACCAGAAAGCCAATGGCCGGACTTTGATTCAACGGCGGGTACACTGGTCTTTCTGATTGTGAAAGCCGTTGACTGAAGGTAAACTAGCATAGCATTACACACATAGACAAACACAGCAGTTCATTACAATAAAACAAATGCAGCAGCTTACAACAGATAATATACAGAATGTGACGTGTCGTCAACAATGATGCATAATTATCAGTGGTTATAAAAGAAACATAACTATTTCTGAAACTATTTCTACCCAGACCAAAGCTCTTACTTGGGGTAACTCCTGGTGATCGTTGCAAAGTTGGTTAGATCGTCACTCTGTTGAATGTTAAATCAACAGATTCAGGCAGGTTTCCTTCGTGGCAGATATAGGAGGAGGGTAGCGGGATTCACATCTTCGACCAGAGCGCTGCTCTATAGGGTCTTCTGGTTGCAGGAGCCGAGTTCTTTATGTGTCCTTGTGGATTCAGGGATCAGTGGGCTTCCTTCAGCGCTCCTGTCCAGTTGCGTTCAATGACGTCTTACGAAAAATCAAAGGAAAGAAACTCTTCTTTTTGCTCGAACCTGATAGCATCTGATTGCGCCCAAAACTCCTAAAAATATGCAGTGGAAGTAGTCAGCTGAATCCTCTGATGCTTGAATTCAGCATGTGAAGAGCTACCTATACTGAGCAACCTCAGCTCTGGAGTTTAACCTATGTAAGTCAAGAGGAGGAAAGGCTTTGTCTCGAATGATGGAGTCCATCTTGTTGGAGAGGGCATCCTCTGGTGTCAGCAGACAACACTTGAAGAGAAGGAAAGGGTTTGTCTCGAATGCTGGAGTCCATCATATGGAGAGGGTATCCTCTGGTGTCGGCAGACCACACTTGAAGAGAAGGAAGCAATGCCTGGTGATTGCTTTTAAAGACTGGAGCTGCCTGTGGGTTTACCTCAGCCTCCTCCAATGAGGATAGAGAATTCAGACACCCCCCCACTTTTCACACCTATTCGTTGGTTTCTGTTGGGGGGTTGCTGGGCTAAGACCCCTTTGTTCAGTTCCCTCCAAAATACTCTAGTCAGGCTTGAGAACTGTGATACAGGCCTGAGTCTCTTGTCCCATACACATGGGAACAATATTGTATAACATCCATTTGTATCATGTTGCATCGTTTCATATAATTTCAGATCAGCCCGTATCGTAGGATTTCTATCGTATCCTAACGTATTGTTTCTGTTCATATTATAAACCCTCTGGTACCGTATCTGATCCTATCTCTCCGTATCATAACCTTTCATTTCATATTCTTTGGTTTAGGGTTGTATCTTAAATCCTCTCTGTTTCGTATCCTATGAAGCCTAAATTTAAGATGATTGCAAAAGTCTTTCATGGATATTCTAAATGTTTGAATGTTTTTAGGCTCCCTTATTTATAGTTTTTTAAACATAGTTTACTCGTACCAA